GTCCGTGCATGAGGTAAAATGATAAAAAATATGTTTATTTTGTAATTCCAAATTAGCTTAAAGGGTCCAGTCAGAGTCAACCAAAGGACCGTATGTGACCCAGGAGCTGTACAATGCCCAGGTCTGCCTTAGACTGTATATATACACCAGGAGTCTCCCACCAGTTGCTCTCCACCCACTTCCAAGTAGCTCGCCAAGGGATTTCTTATACGTATTGTGTTGAGTAAAGTAAAATTAGATTAATTAAATGCCTTTTACTATTGTACATGTGTTATTTTGATGCCCAACTTTGTGAACTAATACAATGATAATGGTTTATATTTTATAGATATCTAACTTAGGGTGATCAGACTATCAAAAAAAAAAAAAAACTGGGACACCCTCGGTTTGTTGGTGGTTGGTAATAATTAAATTGTGAATCTAGTGTGTAATTCAGAAAAACGTTTCCTACACTGGACCCATTGACATTGGCCTCTCTTTTCTTTTTTACTGTTACCAGGGGTCAGATTGGGCAAAAATAGGGGCAACTGGGACATTTCTTGTATAAAACTGGGACAAATCAGTGGTTTTGGATAAATCTGATGGGACAGGGGACACAAGGCTCAAAACTGGGGCCGGGCAAACTAATCTAACTGTACCTCATCTAAGGTTTGCTGAGGCTCTTTTACATTCTAAATTTCTTGTGACCGCTAAAACTATTAGATCTCTGGCATTTTTGTTTTGTAAAGGTCGCTCACCGGAGGAAAAAGGTTGGAAACCCCAGATATAGATGGTGAGCCTCGTCATTTTGGTCTTAAAACGTTCGTATTAACCCTCTCTACGTGATCCTAGTGTTTTTATTTTTGCTATTTTGCCCGTAAATTAACTCCGATTCAGCTCCAAATTCGCGGGTCGTGAGCTTCATTTGACTGGAGCTGAGCGCTGTGGGTGGTGACGTCACTCTCTCTCTTTAGTCGTCTTCTTTACAGAGTCTGCGGTCTAAACGTGGGCCATCGCCGCCCCGCCCTCCCTCCCTCCCTCCCTCCGCTCGGCCCACAGCGGAGCACCGTCCTGGGCTCGTCTCCTCTCCCTGTTGCCCCAGAAACCTCCGGGCTGTGTCAGAGCGGCTTTGGAATGCCCGGGACACTCTGCTCCTATTGTCATGGCTCTCGCTCTCTCTCTCTGCTCTCTCTCTCTGCTCTCTCTCTCTGCTCTCTCTCTCTCTCTCTCTCTCTCTCTCTCTCCTCTATCTCTCAGCACTCTCTCTCTTTCTCCTCTCTATTTCACTGCTCTCTCTCTCTCTCTCTCTCTCTCTGCTCTCTCTCCTCTCTCTGAGCGTTCTCTCTCTCTCCTCTCTATCTCTCAGTGCTCTCTCTCTCTCTCTCCTCTGTTTCTCTCAGTGCTCTCTCTCTCTCTCCTCTGTTTCTCTCAGTGCTCTCTCTCCTCTCTATCTCTCAGTGCTCTCTCTCTCTCCTCTGTTTCTCTCAGTGCTCTCTCTCCTCTCTATCTCTCAGCATTCTCTCTCCTCTCTGTCTCTCAGCTCTCTCTCTCGTTCTCTCTATCTCTCAGTGCTCTCTCTCCTCTCTCTGAGCGTGCTCTCTCTGCTCTCTCTCTCTCTCTCAGTGCTCTCTCTGTCCTCTCTATCTCTCAGTGATCTCTCTCTCTCCCTCTATCTCTCAGTGCTCTCTCTCTCTCCTCTCTATCTCTCAGTTCTCTCCCTCTCCTCTTTATATCTCAGCGCTCTCTCTCTCTCTCTCTCCTTTCTGTCTCTCAGCATTCTCTCTCTCTCCTCTCTCTCTATCTCTTGCCTCTCTCTCTCTTTCCCCCTCTCTTTTATTCCCTGTCCTCAGTTGTTACTCTTCTTTCTTTTTCCCTCCCTTCCTCTCTCTCTCTCTCCTCTCTCTCAGTGCCCTCTCTTTCTCTCTCTCTCCCTGTCCTCAGTTATCTTTCTTTTGTTTCTTGCTCTCTCCCTCCCTTCCTCTCTCTCTCTCAGTGCTCTTTCTCCTTGTCCTCAGTTATCTTTCTTTTCTTTCTTGCTTTCTCTCTCTGTGCTTTCTCTCTCTCTTTCTTTCGCTCTCTCCCTGTCCTCAGTTATCTTTCTTTTCTTTCTTGCTCTCTCCCTCCCTTCCTCTCTCTCAGTGCTCTCTCCCTCCCTGTCCTCAGTTATCTTTCTTTTCTTTCTTGCTCTCTCCCTCCCTTCCTCTCTCTCTCAGTGCTCTCTCTCTCCCTGTCCTCAGTTATCTTTCTTTTCTTTCTTGCTCTCTCCCTCTCTGTCATTCCCTGACCTCGGTTATGTTTTTCTTCTTTCTTTCTTGTTCATTCCCTCCCTTCCTCCCGTCCTCTCTCTGTCTCGCTCCTCTGTCCTCAGTCGTCTTTCTCTTCTTCTTCTCTCCCCCCTCTCTCTTTCATTCTCTGCCCTCAGTTGTCTTTCTCTTTTTTTCTTTTCCTCCCTCTCTCTCTTCTTTCTCTCCTCCGCTCCTGCACTTGGACCTGTCATGATAATAAAATAAAGTGTGATATATTTTGCCGTAGAAAACACAGACGGTAAAAGATAACACTGAGACGAACAGATGCCGCTGACAGACCGGGATATTTTTAGAAGAAGATTCACATTATTATGAAATATTTGATACTGTTCTGAATATTCCGCAGTACATACAAACATACATGCTAGGGGTGTGCAAAAATATTGAAATATCAATATATCGTATCGTTTAATGTAATGATACAGTATCGATATCGTGGGCTGCTGTATTGATATATCGCGTATTGAGTATTTTTTGTGTATTTTACTAAACTATTTTGTTACAGCGCTACAGTTTTGTTGTTTGTTTAGTGGAAGGAAAAAAGTTAGTTAAAATGAAAATTAAGAACATTTGACTTTATCTGAGTCGACTCTACCAATGGAATAAGTGTTTTTCTAAATTCAAGCGACATTCAGTTTCATTTCTTATTTTAAGGGTTGTTGTTTTTTTCTTTTTTTAAGTGTAGCAAGTTGTATTTTCATATTTTAAGAACAAAAAATCGTATTCTGCTGAGATAATTTAACTTGTCAAGTGGAATTTACTCAAATCATGATAAAACTTTCTTAATTCAAGTCATCTTAACATGGCTGGATTAAGTTTTTTGCAGTGCATGCGACACATTTGACATTTTCACAGTTTTGAGGATTAAAATGTTTTTGTTTCATATTCACTTTGCGCAAGAAGTGGTTTAACAAAGACTTTTAGTATCACAGCCATGATTTAACCTTTATTTTTATTGAATGGTATCGAATCAATTTGAAATCTGTCGTATCGAATCGTAAGTTCACTGTATCGAAATATGTATCGTATCGTGGCCTTTGTATCGAGGTATGTATCGTATCGGCATCTTCTTAATGATGCCCAGCCCTAATACATGCAGCGGTTACCATGGAGACACAGTGCACACATTAACAAATACTGCCAAAAAAGGTTCAAAATTGATGTAAACAGCACATTTTCAGGAGCCTATGATCAATACGAGCGTTCATGGTTCTGTTTAGGAGTTTTATTTAAATTAAAGTCTAGAAAATCCTCAGACAGAGCAGTACAAAGTTGATGCTAAATATCAGTAATTTCTTTATTGGAAATTTGAATCACTTATAAAAACAGATTAAAATAACGAAAAATAGAGCCTCCATATTATAGTTCCTTTTTCCTTCTTAATTTGCTCATTTTTTTATTTATTTAATATAGATTGGTGTTGAATGAGTTGGGAAAAAAGCAGATTTTTGTTTTTTGTTGTTAATATGTTGTTTTTTAATATAGGATTCTGTGCAAGTTTCCATATTTCATTGCCAAGAACTGACAAAAAGACATAAATATGAAGGCCCCGTCCACACTAGTACGTATTCGAGTCGTTTTCATTGTGGATGCAGTGTTCGTCCACACTAATCTGACTGAAAACGGCTCCGGAGACGGAACGATCTGTTGCCACCAGCTCCCACGAATTCATTTGAGTACAGATCTGATCCGGCACCGTGTGGACGCCTGAAAACGCTGATATGCCGATGTAGGTCTATGCGCTGCGAAGCAATTCACCGTCAAAATGCTAAGAGGCTAGAATATGTGTCCATTCATATATACGGTCTGTGTGTACAACCTGCAGACGTATAATCTCTGCAGAGTTTAACGTGAACCATCTCCAACGCGATAGAAACACAGAACAGACTCACCATCAGCAGAACACCCCTCTGTCACAGAAAGAACACTCATATTCCACTGAGTCGTGTCCTTTAGTCCGACAGAAGCTGAACCGCATCAGCGTTCAATATCGAGCTGTTTTTTGAGCGCTCAGTTTATGCAAATTAGCCATGGGTTTTTAAGTTTTGTTTCTGTAAAACGTAAACATGCTCAAAGCTGTGTGGATAGGGAAGGATTGCGGTCACAGAAACAACGTGTTTGGATGCAGATCTTTTCTGATATGGTGATACGCGGGTTTGTTTCAGTGTAAACAGGGTCTAACTAATATAAGAATCACATTGTGCAGATCTAAACTATAGGATTGTCCAGTTTTATACAGATTAAGATGATTGAGAGACTTAGGTTTTGGAAAAAAATATGGTATTTAAACAGTGCAGCGTTTGTGATTTACTAATTTTGTACATTCATATTGTGATTTTGATTCAATTAAAGGTCCTATATTGCGCAAATTGACTGTTGTGAGCTTTTTGTCACGTTATTATTTTGTTAACTTCCTCAAAAAACTTAACTGGAGTTATGTTTTCATTCACACTTTTCTGTTGTTACTCAATGTGTGTGAACGAAATAAAACACAACTCCAGGTCTGTTTTTGAGAAGGTAACATCTTCATAGTATGGCATTACAACTTTCTATCTTCATGGAAACCAAACCAGACCAAGTTACAGGTCAGATCTGTGGAGTGCACTTTTAAATCATGAGAGTCAATTTTGTGTAAGATAGGAACTTTAACACAAGCGTTACTTACGAATTTCCATCCATTTGAAGCCACATGTTTATAATGTTTCTCTTTTTCAGACACACGAAGCCTCTGACGTTCGCTGACTGTATTGGAGATGAGCTGCCGGTGGGATGGGAGGAGGCGTATGACCCTGTGGTGGGGCCATACTTCGTGGACCACAACACGAGTGAGTCTCCTCTCTGCTCCATCTGACCCTCTGCTCCTCTGCTTCATCTGATCCTCTCCTCTGCTTCATCTGACCTTCTCCTCTGCTTCATCTGACCCTCACCTCTGCATCTTCTGCTCCATTTGACCCTCTCCTCTGCTCCTCTCCTCCTCTGAGCTTCTCCTCTGCGTCTTCTGCTCCATCTGACCTTCTCCTCTGCTCCTCTGCTTCATCTGACCCTTACCTCTGCATCTTCTGCTCCATCTGACCCTCTCCTTTACATCCTCTGCTCCATCTAAACCCTCTCCTCCTCTGTTCTATCTCCTCTGCTCATCGGCTTAATCTGACTCTTTTCTCTGCTTCTCTGCTCCATCTGACCCTCTCCTTTTCATCCTCTGCTCCCTCTGACCCTCTCTTCTTCATCTTCTAACCCTCTTCTCTGTATCTTTCCTCTGCTCCATCAATCTGACCTCTGCTCTGTCTGCTCTCCTGACCTTCTCCTCTGACCCTCTCCTCTTCTCCTCTGCTCCATATGACCCTCTCGTTTTCATCCTCTGCTCCCTCTGACCCTCTCCTCACACAGGTAACACAAATCCATACTGGACCATCCCTAATCTCCAACTCCAATGCTTGTATTTTCAGAGAGCACCCAGCTGGAGGACCCCCGCGCCCAATGGCAGAGGGAGCAGGAGGCGATGCTGAGGGAGTACCTCTCTGTGGCACGAGACGCTCTGAGTGCCCAGAGAGAGATCTACGAAGTGAAGGAGCAGAGACTAAGACTGGCTCAACAAGAATACAGACAACTGAACGAGCAATGGAGAGACAAATCCTCCTCACACACCAGCTGTAAGGAAAAAAACACACTCACACACTCGTATCTATTTAAGATTATTTAAGATACTGAAAATGATCTGATCTTATCTGAGATTTTTTCCATTTTTTTACACCTGGATCGGATAAAAAGTTAAATACTGGTGAGATACAGTTTTTGAGAAGCTGTAGTCACAAAAAACAGTGCTGCAGCAAAAATATTTAATCAAATAAAATCAAAAATGGTGAGAAGAATGTTCAAACTACTTCAATGCACAAAAACGGTTAATGGCTTAAGACACAGGTGTCAAACATGCGGCCCAGGGGCCAGATCCGGCCCTCCAAGACCTTTAATCTGGCCCTCGGCTGATTTTCTACTAAAATATTTTAATTCTATTTTTTATTAAAATCTTGGTAATTTTCTGCGGTGCTTATCATAGCAGCGTCTCCAGCGTCTCTGTGCGTGGCACCTCCCACCAGAGCAGCACAAATGAAGACTTGTTAAACAAGTTCATGTTAAAACATTGTGTTGAAATTGTATTTTTCTTAAAGATTCAGGTTGTTCATAATATTATAATATTTTGTAAAAGAAAGAGTTCATCAATTAAAAAAGATTTCTGTAATAGATTTGCGTTTCTCTGCACAAATATTTGAGCTTATTGTTATTTTTGGGGTTTATATGCCACGAGTTTTCTGATCCGGCCCCTTTGGGATCAGAGTCGGTTGGATATGGCCCCCGGACCAAAATGAGTTTGACACCCCTGGCTTAAGACTTGCAAAATCTAGTCTTAGACAAAAAATGCATTAACTCTTTCCCCCCTGGACGCCTACTAGGAACAACCCATACATATGTTACTAGGGCTACCCATAGAGCATAATTGCATAAAAGAAAACAGACTTCCACGAGTGATTTCAGGGCAATTTTGGTTCATAATCGAGTATAAAGCCCGGATAGTTTGTTCGGATATCGCAGGACTCCATACAGACGCATCAGCGGAATTCTCATCTTCGTAAGATTCACTCTCTGTAAGTCCGTCGCTATCGCTGTTTTCCACTTTATAATCACCCTCATCATCACTTTGAAATCTATAAGTCACTTTCTCTAAACTTATCCATAAAATACGTCCGCTCCTCATTATTTCTAAAACTGTGCGCCGCAGCGCGATCTTTCCATTGCACGTGTTTCGTGTTGTGTTTTTTCCGGATGCTACCATCGTCACTATTTCGATTAACTTCGGAAAAAATCTGCGAAAACATATCCTTGAATCCTAATGGTCAGTCTAGTGTGGGATGTAGTGGCCCCTACCTATCGCAGTCTCTGTTTAAATGTGAAAAACCGAGCCATTTCTAAAGGTCGTCAAATCACGTCTTTAGTGATACAGCGGAGGTGTCAAAAGTCGTCATTAAGGGTACGGGGGGGTCGTCAAATGTCGTCTTCATGGGGGAAAGAGTTAAAATAAAAGTACTTTATAAACATGAACAAAGATGTAATTAAGCATTTATTATGTATTTTACTGTTAACTAGCTTTGAAATATGTGATCCTTAAACTAAAATGTGACCGAAACAACAACATAATGTACAGTAGATTAGAAAATATTGTAATATGGGCCCTTTTAAAGTGCCTGAAACAATTTTAGTATAAATATTAAAAGCAGCCTTGGGTATATCCATAAATTACATAAATTAAACAGTTTTTTGCAAATTTTCTCCTTTATATCGTGCTGAAATTTTTAAGCCACGTTCCCTTTCCCTAACAACGACTTGTATTTGTGTATAAAGAACTGCAGAATCTACCTTTAGATGTAATTGCTTTGTCTAGAATGTTCCACAGTATGGCTTTAAATATTTCTATCTTTATGGAGACCAAGCCAAACCAAGTTACAGGTCAGATCTGTGGAGAGGCGATGCACTCACAGTCAGAATACATGTTTTCTAAGTGTTTTTGAGCTATAAAACCACTTGTAATTGAATAAATGTAAAGTAGAGCTGTTTAACGTCATACTGTGGAACATTCTAAGCAGAGCAATGACATCTCCATAGAAACAAGAAGGTGAACCAAAAAAGTTGCACAGTGTACCTTTTAAATATAGGTTTGTTGCAGACATTAAAGCAAAAACATCTTCATGGAGACAAGCGGGTGGCAGAACTTCCACCAGAAAAGTTACACAATGCACCTTTACACCTTTCTAGAGAAAAAAGACTAATGCTTTATTGTCCTTTTTTTTCCTCACAGTAAACTCCAGATCTTCCACTTCGAGTAAATACGACCCTGACATCCTCAAAGCCGAGATCGCCACGGCCAAAAGTCGAGTGAGTCATCGTCTCCTCACACGTTTTTCAGATGTGTAAAAATGACGCCTGATGACTCAAAACCACATTTTAATCCTGTATTTGCTGCCACTTTGGACTTTTGAGAGCTTATGGTTTAGGGTTGGGACAATATTTGTATTTAGTAGGGTTATTCCGATACCGATATGTATATTTTTAGTAATATGTTTTGTGTGTTTAGGTGAATAAGCTGAAGCGGGACCTGGCCTGTATGAAGCAGGAGCTACAGTTTAAAGAACAAGGCGTCGAGACCCTCAAAGAGTAAGTCCGCATCAATGTACACTTAATGATTTTGGAGGATTTTAATTGCAGCTGGTGTAAGATTGCAGTTAGATTTGTATGTTGTATGTTTTCCAGTTTTCATAATTCAGTTCAAATTTCCTCTGGGAGCCTTCAAACTTAAATTGTAATAATCAGAACAGGAGAATTTGCCAGATTTTGGCTGCGACTTTGCTTCTCCCAGAGTTCAGGGAGGCGTGATCTGACTTTGTGTCTTCATGTGCGATTTTTGAAGCTGCTGCACTCTTCGTGTGTGGTGTCAGTGTGGCTCTGAGCTGCTTTGTCAGAAGGTAACCACCAAACATCAGCAACACTATGATAAAAGCCGATTAAAGCTGATAAAACTGAGCGTCAGGGGCAGAGGAGTGACGGACACAGAGACGCAAGATACAAACTGAAGAAATAGCGAAAATAATGAGAGGACTTTATTACTCACCTCTCGTAAAGTGCAGCATCTCATCCACATTATCTATATAAATTGTCCTCCACAAATGACGACATCCAGTCTACAAAACAGAGCTGTGAACCCAGTTTGAGGCGTTCTTAAAAGTAAAAAGGTGAGAGTAGTTCCTCACGTGTGTCTGTTTACATCCACACAGCGCATGGATCAAGGTGAAGCTGCAGATTCGCGATCGAGACTCTCCTTCCTGTGGACTTTATCGCCAAACTTTTGTGCTTTAAAAATCATGTATCTAAAGTTTTGCACCACATTTCACAAATAATAATAACACAGTGTTGTCTTGTATCTAAACTAGTAGTGCGGTTGTCTGATCTTTTGAACATTTAAGAGTCTCAAAGCGAGTGTTTTTACTGTAGACAGGAAACAGCTGACGCGATCGTGCTCACAACTTTATATTAGGGCTGTCGTGGTTAGGGAATTTCTCCTGCGGTGCGGTATAGCGGCTTAACAGCACAGTATACAGCGATATCGCACCCCCTCCTCCACTCCACATCCCCCGGAGCTACAATATTTCCAGCGGCACTGAATGTTAACAGGTCTGGGTAGGCACGGATCTGTAAAAATGGACCCGTGCAGGACTCTGGATTGAGTCACATTGGTCACGTGCGGTGATCGTGGTGGCTCAATATCCACAGCTGTAATTTTTGCGGTTATTGCAACAGCCCTACTTTATATCCTGTGATACGCAGCCATATCCCGCTGCAGTTTTGCGATCAGAGATTAAGTCTCATAAGACTCTCCTCGTGTCTGTGGTGTGCACTTTTTGTCGTACGTTTAAAAATCGTTTAAGACCGAAAAATCCTATAGTGTGTGGCGGCCTTAAGCAGAGCAATGACATATTCATAGAAACAAGCAGGGTAATAATGCACCTTTAATTTCAATAGGAACAATCAGTTAACTCTGTCAGGCTTTGATAGAGAAAGCGTTTACAGCGGCGTGTTGTGTCCGCTGTGGTCTTGTGTCTGGTCTTGATTCAGTTTGATCAGTGGACCAGGGACGCTCTGCTCTGCATCACCAAACACCGCCTGACCTTCACACGCTTTGCTCTCACCTGCAGCTCAAAGACAAGCAGCAGGAAAGAGTTGTTTAGCTCCACAAAATTCAGCTGTAGAAAAAGTGGACGAAGGGACTCGCAGCGTTCGGCTCCAGTCAAATGAAGCTCCCCGAGGCTAGCAGTTATAGGAGAGAATTTGGAGCCAGTTCCATCATTTATCTACAGACAAAATAGTGAAATAAAAACAGCAGGATCATGTAGTGGGTTAATATGAACATTTTACGACCAAAATGAGGAGTCTGACGAAGAGGGGCCTGACGTTTTTTTAATACAACCTGAATTCGAGCTGGAATCGATGGAGCCGGAAGCGTCCCCCATGCTTGCGTCCTATTTGGAATGCGGCGGTTTGCAGGTTAGCTATGTCCATTAGGGCTGCTCGATTATGGAAAAAAATCATTATCACGATTATTTTGGTCAATATTGAAATCACGATTACTCTAAGGATTATTTTTTTGTTACATGATGCATTTATTCAGCATTTCTCTCTATAAAAAACACTTTGTTATTGATAATTTACACAAAACTTTCGAATTGAAAATAAATATAGGCTACACATATGAACCTTAGAGCAGTTTTGCAATGTATAAAACATAAAATGAATAAAATATAGGACTTTTAATATATTCAGTGGCAGTGCCTCGGGTTTGTACCTTGCCCGCTTTTACATTTTCCAGTAAGGGTAACTTTCTGTCTAAAGACTACTGTTTTAACCCTTGTAGAGCACCTGTACTGCCATTTTTTTACTCTTTTAAGACCCAGTGAAGCGCTCTACCTCTTTTTCTTCATCTGATGAGTAAAATATATGTTGAACATGAAATAAGACATAGAAAAACATACATATGTCCAAAATAAACTATATATCCAGCTGTTCTACAATCTCTATATTTAAAAAATAAAATAAATATACTTGTTTATATAAAAAATATCCCAAATTAAACTTTGTTAAGCTTTACTTGTTTAAACTCGATTATATGAGTTTGGAATTCAATTAATTGCACAGCTTTAATGTCCATTTATCTATGGCTGTAATTGTGGAACAAGGATGACCGTGAAGTTAATATTCAGTGCAAAACTTATTAAGATGTCAACAAAGAGGGACTTAAAATTCTCTAAAAATTACCTAACTGTGTCCCAGATATGAGGTAAACATGTTCAAATCATATATAGCTTTCACAGGTCACAGTTAAAAAGCTGTTTGGATTGTGGATGGCAAAAGATCTCGCAAGACAAAATTGCCGCAACATTGTTCACGCTTGAAAAAAACGATCTTGTGAGACTTTTTTCCCCAAGCGTTTACATTTGGATTGGACAAAAAAGGGTTACATGTTTGTGAATTGCATCTCTTACACTTCCAAAAACCAGTGAAGTAGTAGAATGTAAACTAAAATATGAAATAAAGTAAATAAAAAACTGTGAGGCCAAAACTGGAAAGTGAAACGAAAATGTACATATTAAGTTATAGTAAGTTAAAATCCCGTCTTGTCTCGTTCTCATGGACCCAGTGTCGTATCTGATCTCGTCTTGTGGAAATTTTCTCGTGGTAGATGGAAACATGCACATCCAACGAAAATTGCGACTGCGTGCTGAGTCCAAAGACAAAAATTGTGCGAAAGAAGGAGATCCACACTGCAGTTTTTCAAAGCTTTCAGATTTTTATTTCAATAACACCACAACGACGTTTCAATACTTGAGTACCTCAATACAAATTTTTTTGAATGGAATCTTTAGTAAAAAAAAAGTTTCAAAGTGGTTTATCACAGCCAAAAGTATTTGCACTACTTACAATTTATATACACACACATAATAATAGTAGTAGTAGTAGTAGTAGTAGTAGTAGTAGTGGTAGTGTAAAAATAATAAAAAATAAATGTGATATGATATTATTATTATTTTTATTTTTTATTTTATTTTTATTTGTCACATTGTGGTGTCATTGAAATAATAATTAGCGAGCTTTGAAGAACTGCAGTGCGGATCTCTTTCTTCTTTTGTGAAATTGTGTCTCGTCCCATCCCTACTGATTTATTATTAACAACGCTGAAATCCGGTAGTTTTAAACCATCTCTGATCTGAGTTCTCCCTGCCTGAACCCCAGCACCCGCAGACAGTCATTAATCAGTGCCTTTGCTGCTGCAGTATTTGCTGTCCATACACTAAGAATGAGAAAACCTTGTTGTGTCCTCTGTCTGCAGGTTGAGGCACAGGCAGCCCAGGCTCATCGTGTTTGTGGTACCTGTTTCTGAGTATTTTTGAGCTATAAAACCCCCTGTAATTAAATAAATGTGAGGTAGAGCTGTTGAATTTTAATGCTCAAGCTCAAACCAGCATGATGACTTGTATTACTGAATCTACCAGTCATAGGGAACAGAAAATTACCGTATTTTTCGGACTATAAGTCACTCTGGAGTATGTCACACCAGTCAAAAAATGCGTAATGAAGAAGAAAAAAAAACATATATAAGTCGCACCTTTTTGGGGGAATTTTATTTTAGAAAATCAGAGACTAGGAACTGACATTTCATCTCGAAAGTCAAGTCAACAACAGAAGAGAGAACAACAGACTGTTAATGTCACATATGAACAGTTCTTCAGATAAATATAACATCAACAACAGAACAGAACAAGTTTACCAAACTCTCCATCTCACTCCAAATCACTAAATCCATTAAATTCTTCATCCTCTGTGTCACTTCTGAGCAGCTCTGTGACCTCCAGAGGTAAACGGAGAACCACTTTCTCTTCTGTGTAGCTGTCGTCAGACTCAGCATCAGTTCCAGTTAGAATTATTTGGGTCTTTCTGAATCCCGACAGGATGGTTTCGGTGTTACTGAAGTCCAGGCTTTGTCGAGCCATCCAGTAACTTCCAGGAAAGTTTCATGGTGCACCCTCTCGGTTGCCGTAAAGCTGTGTTCTCCATCCTCACTTTCCGCCAGTCCCTCACAAGTTTCTCGCTCACTCCAAACTTTATTTCTGCTGCTCGATTACCGTTTTCTGCCGAATATTTCACTACTCGGGACACATGCAGGAGACGCGCGCAGTAGAGCGAAGTGACAGTGGTACAGGAGGAACAGGAGCAGCAGATTTATTTATTTATTTTTTATGTATTCATAAGGTGGAGGCTTTAATATAAGCCCTATTGGGTTTTTTGCCTCTTCCGGCACCCACTTTTTATCTAGTGTGTTTCTTTTTATTGTCATGGTATATGTGCAAAATAAATAAATAAAATAAAATACTGACACACAAGTCTAGAGCCTCTCGCGGCTGTCAGTGTGAAAATGTTAATATATAAGTCGCACCGGCGTATAAGTTGCAGGAAACACCCAAACCATGAAAAAAGTGCATCTTATAGTCCCAAAAATACGGTAAGTCTACATGAATCGTGATCATACTTTCCCACATATCGCCCCTCACTAGCTTTTTGTTTTGAATTTGATTGCACATTTTTGGATACAAACTATGGAACATTCC